CAGGGCACTGACATGAAGATAAGTGGCAAAGTAATTGTCTGGTCGAGCCAAGTGTATCCATACAGTCCATCTGCCAGCAGCCCATGGACACCAAAGCACTGAAAAAGCAAATGCACACCAAGCACTGAAGATCTAAGCACCTATTTATGTAAATATATTCCAAATGGTGACACCAAAATACATAGGAACAAATAATTAGTAAACACAACTAAAAGTTTTTGAGAGTATTGGAGCTAATTATTGTGAACATTCTTAGCATCTACTGCCAATGAATGAAGGGTTTTCTTCCTGGTTTTTCTTACTAATTATTCTAAAAAGCCAGAGTTGTGCCCTCTACATTTGATCCTGTAAAAGTTTATCATATAAAAAAGACTCTTGATGTAACAAAGGTGCCACATTGCCAGGCCAGTTTCTGGATCCCCACTCCAGCAAAAAACTTGTCTAAAAGCCAATTTTAGCAGCTAAGTGGATTATCAATTTAGAAAGTCTCTAAGAAGAATAAAGCTATTAACATTTTACACTGGAGCAAATAACATATCCAGAGACTGGATCCATGGTGCCTTCATTTAATCCTTAGCAAATTGTAAATAGCTTGGTCAGTCAGAGAATGTTACACAGCAGGTAAAGGAAAACCCTTCCCTGCTCTCTGTCTCCCAGATCATCAGCCTATTCAAGCCTTTATCTGTATGGATAAAAAAAAAAAAAAAAAAAAAAGTGCTTTCTCCTGTCTTCTTCACTACCACTCATCATAAGCTCAAGTGACCCAGGTGCAGGTAGAGCCAGCATTCTGGGTAGAGAAGTGCAGAGCATCCCCCCGTGCCTTCCTCCTCCTGCTTTGTGAGAGCAGCACCTCACTTCACACAGGCAGTGGCTGCAGACATTCCCTGGCACCTGGGGGCTGAACAGCACTTGGCTGAGGATGGCACAGAAGAGCCTTCTATCACACATTATGTACGGATACCAAAGGAAAAAGGAGACAGTCGGGCTTAGAAGAGAGCCTTAGATTATGTGGTCAGTACTTAGGAGCTCACAACTAAACAGCCCATTATTAATTGACAGCCAAAAGTGTTTTCCTAGAGCTCAAGTGGTTCAGTTTTGGTGGATAAGATCATCAGGTCATTGCCAGCTGTCATATATGCCTGAAGCCACAATACCAAGAGACATACATTAATTTTGGTAAAACATGTGAAATTCATCATCCTGGGGAAAATAGTTTTGCTGCTAGACTTGAGATATGGGTTGAAACTTTGTGCCTTCTGTAAGTCAGTCCCAACTACATGCATGATGTTTTAAAGGGCCTTATTTCAATCCTAAAAAATGAGCACCAGATGTTTCTTTTATCGTAGTTGCAATCTATATGCAACTACATTCTATATATCCAACATTTCAGGCACCTATTAAGGTCTGAGAAACTCTCTCTGATCCACCTCTTGCTCCTTAAAAAAAGAAAGCTGTGTGAGAGAATAAAATAAAGAATAAAATATGATAATTCTGATAAAGTAAATACATGAATGAAGAACTGAAGTCTTTTCACCGGGAGAAAGAGAAGATAGGTAGAAAAAAACAACTGGGTTCAGTTATCATCAAGCACAGACCAATTTTTTGTTAGAAAATCTCTCATGAAGAATAGTGACTTATTTAATTATTCCTTTCAAAACTGTACTCTGAAATGTTCTCTTTAACCTACACATGCCATAAGCAGGAGGTTAAAAGGCCTGTCATTACATCTGACCATTCTGGCTTCTCTGCAGATGACAGTGGGGATGAGGTTCCTTCCCTGGGGAAGAGAGTCTAGTTTTTAGGACTTATTTATTTAATTAACTGTTTTGTTCTCTTCTTTTCTTCCTAAAAGCAGCTGCCCACCTTACCCACTCCAAAGGAACCTGATCCATTCTGAAGGAAAGTACTCTCCAGGCTAAGCTTTCCCCTGACCAGAAGCCCACCAGGACACCTTGGGCTGGAACTGCATAGTGACAGCCAGAGAATAATTTGCTCCTGCAAGTGCTAAGTACTATTTTCATTCCTGTTAGGCCAAGTCTCTGGCAGTTTTGATTTTCCTTTCCATTTTTGTCTGTCTCAATTACTTTTCCTTGCTTGTTGAATAAATACATTGAAATACTTCCTTTCTTGTTAGCAAAACAATTTAGTATTTAAATGCAAACCTAAAGCAATGTCAGTGTGTAGACACACACCGAGGCAGAGCACATACAAGGAGGCTGAGGAACAGGTTCCATTCCTCGATCTACCACTGACTAAATTCGTCACCTTGCTTCAGATTTCACCCCTCTGTGAAATGGGATAATGATCCTTCCTTAACTCATAGGGCAAGAATGCCATTAATATTTGGACTTGGTTTCAGATTCTTGAAGAAGAGCTTTTCCATGAAATCATTTCCCTGTTTTGGCCAGCCCTTGGACTACAGTTGTGACTGTAGTTCCAGCTCCATATCCTATAAGGTGTGATCGCTGGGTTTGGTGCCACCACTTGCAACATGCAGTGCCCTTACAATTGATGTTTTTGGAAATAAGACAGGAGCTTTTCTAAAGGAAAGCTTTTGTTTGAAACTCTTCAAACTTCAGGAAAGTTTATACTTGACTCCAGATCCCAATTCAGCTGCTTGGGACCACCAAAGAGAAACCTATGAGTGAAAAAGTATTTGAAGTTGCAAGAAAAGGAAAGCAAGGGGACAGCAGCTGACGAAAAGATAAAACAAAGAAATAAGTGAGCAGAGGAAAACCAACAAAAGCTGAAAGTTCATAAAATCTGCATGCAAGGAACTGGACTTGTGTCAAAAGTGGAACTAAAGACTGCATTGAGACTCAGTTTTCTGTGGGTCTTGTCTTTTGCCTCGACTGCCCCAATGCTAATGCACTACATACCAACATATGCTATACAAAAAGCTGTAGATACTCTGAGTAACTTGTGGGGCAGTCAGAGATTGGAAATGAATGAGCAAACAGTGCAAATGCCATTCCAATTCACTCCCAGGAACACAGTCCCTTAATGATTTCCTAGAGACACAGTAAGCAACAGAGGCAGAGGATTCTTTGCTCCTGCCACAACTGTTCAGAGTCTCCAGACACAGAAAGATGTGAAATGATTACTGTTTGACTGTGAATGCCAACGTCCTGGAAAGAGGATGGAGATGCTCTTGCTGCTGCTGCCCCACAACAGGAAGATGGTATACAAATATAAATATAAATATAAATATAAATATAAATATAAATATAAATATAAATCTGCACACAGGCTCCATGCTCTGTCACAAGTCGCCCTTTGTTTCTGCAGTACCTGTGGGTGACCAATCCTACACTGAACCCTAAGATGGAAAAACAAACACGAAACTGATGGATTAGTTCTGAAAGGAGCCTGGAATTGAATGCAGCTCTCTGCAGGCACAGTTGTAATACACAGTCAGTTTTCTAAACTGACATGGCCTACATTAGTAACCACAAAAATCACAAAAATGCATATTCCTTGTACTACTCACTTTGGAAGACACCACCACATACCTTAAATACCATTCTCATCTTCCTCAAGCCCACTAGCAAATTAATTGTTTAGTGTGGAGCAGGGAGAGAAGCTGACATGTCTGGTACTTGATTGCTGCAGTGCTCATGTACCTGCAGAGCTGGTGCTCCCAGTTAATTATCTAGCCTTCCTGTTTTATGGAAGTTCATGTGTCTTCAAGACCTTAAAGAATCAAGGCTTACTTGGCATTCGTGTTGTGTGTGAGGCTGGTGTTGAACTGTGAACGCTGATCTGAACTGGGACTGTGGCACCAGGCCACAATGGCACTCAGCCTGTGTTTTTAAATTATCTTGCTCTCAGTGTGTTCTCTGCAACTGAACTTGGGGCTGGGAAGTGCCTTTTGCAATGTTCACGTGGCATCCAAAGTCATGACCTAATTCACTTCTATGTGTAAGCACAATATGAGGGTGATCATAATGGTTTTTAATGTCAGGTTACTTCCCTGTAACACTGTTTTAAAAGCTGTCGTTTGAGCCTAGAGACACTCCCAAGGCATTGTTGTGATGAGGGCTGAAGTACCCATACTGACACAGTGCTCCACAACAAGGACAGACACACAGAAACCTGCTCTCAGTTACTATTCCACAGAGGCAATTTATCTGTAAATCAAACCTGTGGCACACTTTGCTTCAGATTATCCTCTTGATGCACCAAAGCAGCATCTAATCAGCTTCCACTCCATCAAATACAGATTTGTTTCATAAGTGATGTAGGAAATAACCCACAATCTCACTCTGCCCTCTCACACAAGAACAGGAACAATCTTTTCTCATGAAGGCCTAAGGTGTTCACTGTACAGAGTACAGTGCACAGAGAGAACCTGGAAACCTCTGGAGGGATTAGAAACACTTTGTCTGTCAAAGATTATCTTACTGTCCGGCAGTACTCTATACAGAACTGCAGGACCAAGCTTGATTATTTGAACATAAGGTGGAAGCAGTACATTTTAAGTGCACATTTAAATGGAAGAATTCTTAGAAGAACCCTGGCAGGAAACAGAATAACTTTTTTTACTTTTGGAGAATGTTTACCATTGTGGCATTACAAATGAAAAAATGAGGATTTCTGAAATTCAAGACATTAAAGCTGTATGCTTTAAAATCTTCTCAAAGCTCAACCTAATCAGAGAACTAAGGATTCTGTAATTATATGTAAAAGTCTGTAATTATGTGTAAGAGTTTTACCCAGATTTTCATTCTTGACTGCAGAACTGTGTTAAGACACATTCAGAATTCCTGTTTTGGTTGTTACTCTGCTTACTCAGACAAGTTCTATTGATCTCAAAGAGCTTTGTGTACATATGAAAACTGATTAAGAGCTGTGAAAGACCACTGATCCTTTGTCTTTAGTTTTAAGCCTCAGGGAATCTGATTAATTCTCCTGAACTTTAATTCTGACATTTTTTGCACTTCTAACTCAAGCAGAGACAGCAACTCGAGAAACTTCAGCTCCCAAAAGAAGAGTCATACCTTTTTTTTTGATCTGACACAGATGATTAGCAGGGAAACTTCCTTTCTGGAGCACAAGGGATCGTGAGAGCCCTGTGGGGGCTCAGCCTGGAGGGGGCTCGGGGGGACCTCCTTGCTCTCCGTAACTCCTGACAGAAGGGTGTAGATAGATGGGGACCAGGCTCTTCTTCCAGGAAACAAGTGACATGACCAGAGGAAACAGCCACAAGTTGTGTCAAAGGAGGTTCAGGATGGACATCAGGAAGAACTTCTTCACAGAAAAGGTGGTCAGGCATTGCAATGAGCTGCCCAGGGAGGTGGTGGAGTCACCATCCCTGAAGTGTTCGAGAAATGATCAGGTGTGGCGCTTTGTGCTCCGGCCTAGTTGACAAGGTGCTCAACGCTTAGGCTGGATTTGATGATCTTGCAGGTCCCTTCCAACCTTAATGACTCTCATTCTGCGAAGTTAAAGCCTTGTGTGCCGTGGTAAGAGCCATGGGCAGTGCTGCAGCCCAAGGAGCTCGGGGTCGGTCCGAGCCTGCCCCTCGCCTCCTCCACACCTCAGACACGCGGCAGCCAGCCCAGCCTTCCGCCGGCAGCGCCCTGCATGGCGGGGCCCTCAGTCCTCGGCGCAGCCCACAGCTCACACCGGCACTGCCGGGGCACCGCTGGCCCCGGCACCACACACCGGACACCTGAGGGCTTCCGACAGCGACGGCGCCGGCCCGCGCCCGGCTGTCCTGTGGGTGAGCGGGAGGGGATGAGGGAGAGGCGGTGATGAAGATGTAAACTGCGGGACGCAACTGCGGGACACGGGGCCGGGGGCTCGGTCCCGCAGTCCCCGAGGGCACCGAGGGTCAGGACGCGGGGCCGGGGGCTCGGTCCCGCAGTCCCCGAGGGCGCCGAGGGTCGGGACGCGGGGCCGGGGGCTCGGTCCCGCTGTCCCCGAGGGCGCCGAGGGTCGGGACGCGGGGCCGGGGGCTCGGTCCCGCTGTCCCCGAGGGCGCCGAGGGTCGGGACGCGGGGCCGGGGGCTCGGTCCCGCTGTCCCCGAGGGCACCGAGGGTCGGGACGCGGGGCCGGGGGCTCGGTCCCGCTGTCCCCGGGGGCACCGAGGGTCGGGACGCGGGGCCGGGGGCTCGGTCCCGCTGTCCCCGAGGGCACTGAGGGTCGGGACGCGCCGTTTCCGCCGGCGGGATGTGTCCGCCTGTTCCTCCCGGCCACAGGGCGGCGGCAGAGGGCGCGGAGCCGGAGGGCGCGGGGAGCGGCGCTCTCGGTGGTACCTGACGTCATCAAGGCGCGACGGCGGCGCGAGCTGTGTGTGGCTGCTCTCGGCGCGGTCCCGTCGGGATTGTTTTTAGAAAGACATGACCACACAGGTAATTAAAAACACAGCGTTAGCTATGCTAATTGGTGGCTCGAGGTGTGTGTGTGTCTATATATGTGTGTGTATAGGCCGCTCATGTGTAATATTAATTATTTTTTCTTTCTAGTACGGTATTCTCTTCAAGCAAGAGCAAGGTGAGCAAACGCTAAGGGGTATTGAGCAGGGTTGGTGTTCTGGGATGATGTAAAGTTGATAATGGCAGGTATCCGTGTGAGGTTATGTTTCTATTAGGCATAAATCTTGAGTAATTCAGAGGTAGCTGTGCTGCTTTTTCAGCAGTGACGCTGGTCACACAACACATTACATATTTTGGAGCAAAGAAGACAGTGACACGGCTCTCGGAGCACTCCATAGCCCTGAGGAGCAGGGCAGTGTCTGTTGCCAACATTGCAGCTGGCCACTTCAGCATTACCAAAACCGGTTGTGGTCTTCTATCAAAAGAAAAGACTTGCTTGTTAATTAATGTGCTTCTATTCTCTTAGCTCACGATGATGCCATTTGGTCAGTTGCCTGGGGCAAAAATAAAAATGATGGTTCTGAAACAGTGATCTCTGGCTCTTTGGATGATCTGGTAAAGGTCTGGAAGTGGTAAGTGCTCCATATTAATCTGTGTTAGGCCTTGGAAGTAGTCAGTGTGAAGCAGCCTTGAATTTCCACAGTCTGCAGGGATGTTAGAAGAATGGCACACACAGCTGCTTCTTTGAGCAAGTTCATCTCCCTTGGTGTGTGCTTTCTCTTGGAGTGGTGGCATTCTGGTGTGCTTTCATTTCAAAAAAATGAGAATCCTTTTGAAAACGTGTGTCAGAGAATACTTGATGTACTTCTAAACCAAAGAATGAGGAATGCATCTTTTGATGAGACAGTGCATTTGGAGATGTGTATTGTGCAGGAAATAATGGGAACAGGGAGAAAGGGGAAATGACGTCTTCCTTTTTTATGGGAAGAAAGATCCTGGTAATCCTTATGGAAGTGTGCTTTTGCAAGAGGTTACTGTCTCTTGGGCAAGGCAGTGTGAGGGATGTGCTTGAGTGACAGGTTTAGCTTGGCTGGGCGGCTCTGAAGATGTCAGTCACGGTGCTCTGTGCTGAGCTCACAGCTCTGGGGGCACCCACACTGCTGTGTGACAGACATTCTGTGCTGGGGTGGCTTCCAGACTCAGGATGAAATACCTGCTTGGCAGGAATATGGTAAATTACTGATTTCTCAGCTCTTTAAGTACAGAGAGTTTGTGTGCAGCCCTTCACGTTTCACGGGAGGACTCGGATTGCCTTGTGTTGAGCAAAGGGAGGAGTGGGGATTGTTTGTGAGCCTGGGGATGGTCAGCACCCCCAGCTGTTCCCAACGAGGCTTTTCTTTCCCTTGCACGGAAGGAATGATGAAAAGCTGGATCTGCAGTGGACTCTGGAGGGTCACCAGCTGGGGGTGGTGTCTGTGGACATCAGCCACACGGGTGCCATTGCAGCGTCCAGCTCCCTGGACGCCCACATTCGCCTCTGGGACTTAGAGACCGGCAAGCAGATCAAGTCCATAGATGCTGGTCCTGGTAAGACCCCAGTGCTGAGCTGGCTCTGCAGGGGAGCAGTGTGACTCTTCCTGGCAAGTACTGGGGGATTGGGGTACATCAGGGGATTAAGGTCTTTGGGGGGGTTTAATCTTTCAGAAAGGTTTTATGAACTCAACGCAGAGCAGCATCAGACAATTTTACATTTATTTTTACACACTACTACTACTTCTCAGGTACACCTAGTTGGCTTTTTGCTGTATGCATAAAGCAGATTGGAAAGCAGGTTGCTCTTACACGTGTATTGGTAAAGGGATATTTGGAAGATATAATTCAAATGCTTATTCAGATGAATTTACAAAGGATTTCTGAACATTCTTCATAACACTGCAGTGAATTTGAGCTGTGCGTGCGATCCTTTTTTACCCAGCATGTCCAATCCTGAGGAAGCAAGTCAAAACAGCCATCAATGGTAACAATGCTAATGTTCTCCAAGCTGGAATTCAGGGCTTAAGGTCTTTTTCCAAGTATTCCATGAGTCTACTCACGAATTTAAGAACAATCTTGCAGTGTTTTAGGCAATTTAATATTAAACTTTTAGGAAAAAAAACCTGTTGAATTACATTGTGCCAGATAAATACATTGCACTGCTGTGAAAAATGATGGGTTTTTACATTCAGTTGCAGGAATGTGTTACAAAAAGTGTTACATTTGTATATCTGCATTTGTCCTGCATCTTCTGTGCTTTGCTACATACTAGTGTTCATTTTTTCAGCGGTTTCAATCTTTTGGTACCAGGAAAAAAGTAAGAATTTTGACTTAACTGATGCAGTCTTAAAGTCTAAATGTATTGTTACACGAGTGTCTCATAATGTCAGGGTCTTACCATAAATCTCATCTTTTACTAAATGTAAGTAAATGGCTCAAGATACGCTCCATTAATTCCATAGAAATGGTAACTTGATGGGCTTGTACACTCTTAGAGGGTTACACCTAAACAGATGCATACAGAACTCACACTGTTGAATAAGAACCAGGAACAGGATCCAGCTAACTGTTCTTTATTTTCTAATACAGTTGATGCTTGGTCCCTGGCTTTTTCACCTGATTCCCAGTACCTTGCAACAGGAAGTCACGTGGGGAAAGTAAATATTTTCGGTGTTGAAACTGGAAAGAAAGAATATTCTCTGGACACCAGAGGAAAGTTCATCCTTAGCATTGCATATGTAAGAAGCACAACTGATAATTCCTTTTGAGAAATCGCTATTGCTGTAATATGCTGTGAATAGGAATTTTTGTGTCCATCTATCCAGTTTATCTCTACAATAACATGAGGTGACAGCCATAGTTCCAAATACAAACTGTGTGATATTTCCCCCCTGCAAGTCTGGAAAATATATTTGGATCTTGTTTATAGTCTTCAGGATTTTTGGAAGCCGGGTATCTTGCATACATCTTTATTTGTGAAAAGTTGCCAAGGGAATGTCAGGGCTTACACAGCATAAATACACACAGATGTTGAATCACTCTGTTGTATTACAGAGTCCAGATGGAAAATACTTGGCCAGTGGAGCAATAGATGGCATTATCAATATTTTTGATATTGCGACTGGAAAACTGCTGCATACGCTAGAAGGTATGGTTTGGTTATTTGCAGTACCTAATTCTGACCTCATTTCTGACAAAAGTAAAGGATATAATGCAAGTCAGAATGACCTACAACAACCATGGCAAAAGTGAGTTGATGTATTTGTCCATTAGACAATATTTAGTTTTTTAGTGCTCTAACCTAAACCACTTAAAATATTAGAGGCAAACTATAAACTCAGGCTTGCATCATAAATGCCTTTTCTAAAAGATACAGTCAGTAATGCTTAACTAGATTCTTAAATTGGAGCTCCTTGTATTGCAGAAAAGTACAAGGGAATGAAGCCAAGCCAATGTGTGCTGCCCTGCATATGGTTTTTCTTTTTCTTGCGTTATTTGTTCTAAAGCAATTTTTTGCTGGTCTAAAAAATAACTGAACATTTTATGTTGTAGAATACATGCATTTTTTTCTAACAGATAAATGGGCTTTTAATGTTCACGCAGTTTCTGCCCAGTTGTAACCAAAACCCCAACCACTTAAATATGCAATCATGCTATAAAATATGACATAATTTCTAGTAGAGATCCACAGCTGAAAGAAACTAGATAGTCTTTGTGTTGCAGACATGCCTATACATTCACAGTTGAGAATTGCTGTCTGTTTCCATTTTCTCTTGTGGGAAGAAGCCTCTAGAGAGAAGGAGGCTCCAGAGGCTGCTCTCTCTGAGCAGGCAGTGCTGTTGTGGCACTTGCTGAGCGCTGGTGTCAGCGAGAGGAGTGCCAGCCCTGCTCTGTGTCCCTGTGCCTGCAGGCCACGCCATGCCCATCCGCTCGCTGACCTTCTCCCCTGACTCCCAGTTACTCGTCACGGCCTCCGATGACGGCTACATCAAAATCTACGATGTGTGAGTGGGGACTGCCAGCCCTGCTGGCAGCACAGCAGCTGCTTAGAGGGGCTGATACTGTGAAACATAGATCAAACCCTCAGCTCTCCAGAATTCAGCTTTTGGTGACTTTTTATGTAAAAAATAATCTTAAATAATAAAATATTACGTCCTTAGATATTTTCTGAAAGTGTAGAGGAAAGCTGAGAATTGAAAACAAATTACTTTCCTCATATTTGCCTGTAGGGAGTAAGCTAATTCTTCTATGTATCTGTCCTGTGAGCTTGTGTTCACTCTTCCTAAACATCTGTTCAGGAAATTATATTTATGACCTATTTCTGTTGCATCTTGCAATACCTTGGAAGACCCTGGGGAGGAAATGGCCCTGCTTCAGTGGCCATTCCCTTCAGTGGCTTCACCCCCTAAACCTGCATTGCTTTGGCTTTGGAGAAACTCTTTGTCCTCCAGTCTATCTTCTTAGTGACTTCTTTTTATGTTAACTGTTTGAAATGAAAGAACAGAATCTGCTGTAACACCAGTCCAGCTTGGATGAACAAATGTCCAGAAGTCACCTTCCAGTGAACCATTCTTGATGGCACTAGCCAGAGTATATTCCTGTTGCTTTTTCTCTGGAATTCACAAAGCACATGTTAATGTGTTCTTTCCACAGGCAACATGCAAATTTGGCTGGCACATTAAGTGGTCACGGATCCTGGGTTTTAAATGTAGCATTTTGTCCTGATGATACCCATTTTGTTTCCAGGTATTGAGGATTTTTAATTGTTTATGACTACTGAAAAAAAAAAAAAGACGTGTGTACAAATAGCAGTGGGATCTGTAATGAAATAACATAAAATTGAAAGGCTCAAGCCAATCTGTGATGTGATACCAGCTGTAGTGAGAACATTTTACAGAGTAAGTCATACCATTGCAGTGTAGTTCCTGACAAGTGAAAAACACAACCCGAGAGAATGGCAGTTTGATTCTAAATAGCTGAAAAATTGCTGTTGAATAAAGAATTACAACCTAAACTACTTGAACTTTAGTATTAATTGAATCTACTTGAACTTTAGTATTAATTCTTAAAACAGCTGAGGCAGCTGGGGGACCAAGTATATGTAACAGGAATTTCCTTATCCAAAGAACTTACCTCAAAGAATTTTTTGGCCAAAGTGGGAGTCTTCATTTTCACATTGCAGATGTTGGAACTGTAAATTTATTTTAAAGGTAATGGAACCTGGCAGAAGATGCAGTCCTTTGCTACTTCATCCCTGTATTTGATAGGTGAAAGAGGGTTTTTTATGTCTACCATATGAGACCCTTTAATGTTTGCATTAAACTTCAGTTAATGTGTTAATTTAAACATTAATCAATATTATCTTTATTTTAGTTCATCTGATAAAAGTGTGAAGGTTTGGGATGCTGGAACGAGGACCTGTGTCCATACTTTTTTTGACCATCAAGATCAGGTATGGCTGCTATTCCCTGAGTCACCACATTCCCAGGAGAGCTTGTGTAGTTGTGCACGTTTGAGCTTCACCTTGGTGCTGCAGCTCCAGGCTTGCAGTAATGCAACTTTAGCCTGCTATAATGAAATTTTAGAAGTTGTGGTTATTTAGCACTTAATATTGAACTAGTACTCCCAGGTGTATATGCTGATCTCTTCCAAGTAATTAACATTTTTCAGGCCCAAATAATGGCAATCCTGAGTGGCCTAAGTCTCACCAGACTCTGTTTGTTACCTTTGTCTCTAGTTTTACTTATTTGTGTGACTAACACAGCATGTGTGTGTGTAAGGGTGGAAATACTTATTTAAAAGGATGGAATTACTTAAACAGATGCTTGAAAGCAGCCTGGAACTTGGGAGTTTTTCCTCCTTCAGTGTTTGTAATACTGTGGGTTTTTAATTTATTGTTCAGTGATAGCTACCTGTGAGGGAAGGAGTTAGGTTTCTACCCATTTACTCTTTGTTCTGTTTATCACCTAACATTTGGACAGTGTTATATTTTAATGGACCACTGAGCAAGAAACAAAGGTTATTCTTCCCGATTTTATTTGATTTTCTTCCATGGTACTACTTTCTTGCTGGTAACCTTCTTTTCAGTTACCTATAGTTATGGGGGTTTTAATATTGAAGTACCAAGTGGGACTTGATTTCCCCTGTTGTTTTAGCTGTTGGGTGTGATCTCATTCAGTCTGTGGCAAACAGACTGGGAATGCTGGGTTTGGGTACTAGTGCAAAATAGTGTACAAGACTGCCCAGAACATACTGTTGTCAACACACCCATTCTGCATTTCACATTATGCAAAACAGTGTACAAGACTGCAAAATAGTGTACAAGAACATACTGTTGTCAACACACCCATTCTGCATTTCACATTAATGTGCTGGGCAGCCTTCACCCTTCCTGATGTCATTCTGATGGAGGTGGGTGTCAGGTAAGAGCTTGTGTAACTGTCTTAGATCAGAGGACTGACCTGAACTAGAATAAGTTTTGCTTTGGTAGGTAAATGTTTTTCTGAAAAAGCTCAAAGATAAACCCAGTCATTCTTCAGTCTGCATGACAAATACTTCTCTTCCTTTCGTGCACTGTAAAATACTATTTTCAGAAGGGGCTGCAGGATGGGCAAGAGTGAAAATGCTTGGGTTATTTATGCAAAGTGGGACCAGCACTTTTCAGCCCCAGTGAGTATCTCTGGCCAGTGTCAGTCAGTCACTGGGGGTGGCTGTCAGAGCTCCTGGAGGGCAGCGTCCTGCTCTGCTTCGGCAGCCTTAGCTGCTGGTGAAGCAGAAGCCAGAACTACACCACTTCTAATTAGGTGACTTTTCAATAATCTTTCCTCTTCTGCCTGTAATAAATATTACTGCCACAAAGATTCTTTTTCTTTGTCCTCTCTGGATAAACTTGCATATGTCTCATTTACAGGTTTGGGGAGTGAAATACAATGGAAGTGGGTCCAAAATTGTGTCTGTTGGTGATGACCAAGAAATTCATATTTATGACTGTCCAGTTTAAATGTCTTGACTCAGATGCTTCAGCAAATGTCTTGCAGCAGTTTCAAGGGACTGCTACTGTCCTGTGTAATTTTTTTAGTATGATAAAAGCATTCATACTGATCTGCAAAACCAGATCTAATTTTGATTTTGCTTAGCATGAGAGAAAAACCCTACTTTTTTAAAATAAAAGCTACAGCTCCAAGTCCTTGTGTCTAATTCTTGGGAAAAAAAGTATTTTTGGAAAGAGATAGTCATGGGTGAAGTAACTGCTCAGTTAATCACCCCTGCCTTTAAACATAAATAGACCAGAGCTGGAAAGCATGGGCTAAGTGTTACAGCAGCTATTTTAGCAGAAGGAAAATGACTGAGGCTGTATTATAGACATGGGCAATGACAGCCCAGCTAGTCCTGATGCTAGACCCGTGAGTGCAAGAGGATCACTTAAGCTGAACACCTGTTTCAACAATTGTGTGGTACATGGATATAGATCATTCATCATGGTTTAATTTCACTAAAGGGGACCACTTGTTTCTAACCCTGACTTAATACAAACACTGCCAGCAAATAGGTAAAATGGAAAAAAGCTTTAATAGGATCGCTGTACTGTGGTAGCACGTACCTTACAAAAGAGCAGCAGTATACCCAGTGCAGGTGCTTTTGGTTTATTCATTTTAGTTAAGGCACAAGTATACAATGCCTAGGAGGAAGTAAAAACCCTTTCTAGGGAAGGCTGCAATACAAAGCTTGAGCTTCTGAAAGGTCAAACTTTTATTTGCAAGTATTTGCTTGTATGTAACACATTAGAGGACAGCTTGTAACCTTAGGTCACACACACAGAAGCAGGTGAAGGAATGCTACTGTAAACCCACAAAACACAGGAAGAGGGGGCTATGAGGCAGAGAGAAGGGCATGCACAAAATGCTTCCGAAATACAGAATGAGGCAGGTGTGAGTGGTGCAGCTAACACAAATAATCTAGACTAGATGACAGAAGTATGAGCTTAGAAGAACTTGTTTAAATTAAGGGGGTTCCAAAATGGCTTGGCAAGTACAAGAGAAGCACAAAAAAGGTGAAGTACTATTTATTAGAAGTTATTCTGCTATGTTTTATTCTATGAAATTCATCTTCCAGTATGAAAGTATTTACATAAGACACTCCACTTAGCCTCTATCGATATTGCCAAAGTCTTATAGAAATAGCACAGGTGAATAAATTGAGAACCTTCACAGCAAGGAAAATGCATACCAACCCAGTTGGTTCTCAGCTGTATGACATTTGCCTTATATAGAAAGACTACAAGAACACAATATAAATTAGTTACAAAAAGGTGATACTGACAGCGCAGCAACTCAATTTGCTGAACACAAAACCCACAAGCAGTGGCTATTACAGCCATGCAGTTTTCATTGTGAAAATTTACATCTTAGATGACATCTGCTCCACCTTGCTTTAAGATGCCTGACATTGTACTCCTGTTCTTGGACCCTCCTCATCCTCTTCATATGCTTCTCCTGCGCTGTTACGGTAGGTTTGCTCATTCGGATCAAAGTCTTCAAGGTCTACCTGATCCATCTCATCTGTAACCATTACATCTTCTCGTGAAGGAAGCAGAGCCTCCAGCAGAGACAGTTTCTCCCTTGGGAGCCAGTAGTGCTCTGGAAACTGGACCTACAAATATTTTTTTTAAATTAGTATTTATTCATGTGCAAACATGAGTATATTGACTACAGAAAAGCATGCAGCTTACCAAAAACTGTATGATCAGGCTGCCTTTGTCCATTGGAGATTTGTAGACAGGCATCCCTTCGTTGTAGATACACTTTAGGTCACCATGTTTTATCACTTCACCTACGGAGGCAAGAGCTGTAAGTGGGCTGCTGTGACAGGACAGGCATTTCACAGCCACACGAGGCAGGGCTGCACTTGTGTTCTCATGGCACCCCAGGGAGATTGTAACCAATCCACAAGAAAGACCTAAACCCAAGCTGTACACAACTAAGGCCATTTAGACAATTTCCCCTGCTATAAGAGATAGCAGCTTTTCTTGGCACAGGCTTCAGGCTGAACAGAATTTAGTAGAATTAAGATTCTTTCCTCTTTAAGCTATCCACCAACTGGGGGTGAGGTTTATTAGGAAGTATTTGACAGCTTTAGGTATAACTCTGCATGTTTTAGGAAGAGTAACAACAACAAAGAACCAACTAAATTGAGTGACTGCCTCATGAACCTGTTGTTGCATTCATCTGGTTAGGAAAAAAAAAAACTCCAAACAAATAGAACAATCTTCCCCAAAAAGTCCAGTCTAGGTACAATTAAACAGACAAGCAGTTTACACAGTATTAGTACTCTTAATGACCTACCTGGCCTAGTAGATATGACAAGAACTCTGTTGTCCAGAGTTTCAATTGTCTTTCTGAAACCACATAAGGCCTCTGAGAGTTGAATTCTCATTTTTGTGATTAAGTCATGCCCTCGTCTCTGAAAGACACTGTGATCCTTTTGATCAAGGACAATTATAACATCACCAGGCTCCAAATCAGGCTCCTGGTCACCTTCTCCATGAAATACTATCTTCTGACCATCTTTCATACCTGAAGAAAAGAAACCCATTTATTCTCTGCAGAACTATAGACTAGTATTGACTATTATTTGGGAACCAGTATAAATACACAGTTCTTACCTTTATCAACATGAACTTCTATGATCTTTTTCTCTCTTACAACCTTACAGCCATTGCAGTTGTCACATCTGTCTTTCGGATTTATTCTTTCACCTTGGCCTTTGCATTCTGGGCACACAGTCTGGATTTGCTGCACCATGCCAGGTCCAATCTGCTGAACTATAACTTGCATCCCTCTTCCTTTACACACGGGACATTTTTCTACTGCCCCTCTCTTTCCGCCATAACCTTTGACAAAAGAGTTAAATTGCATCTTAGTCTAAAAAAATTAGAGTAGTCAGGCTGGAACTCACTGACTTCAAGAGCATACTTGGGGTAACTTGAGGGTAGTTCAGTAATGGAATTTAGCTGCCATCACAAAACATACCCCACAAGCTGGAGGCTTCTACAAATAAAATGTTTATACTGCTTATTGTATTAGCCTCTGCCCCACCCACCAGTAACTCCTGGTTTCCAAGGAACTGTCAGCATACCAAATTCAAGACATAAACATTCCATTAATACTTGAGAAAAAAATCTGCTTACTAAATATTTAACAGAGTACTAAGATATAAGATCCTATTAAAATTTACCTCAAAAGAGAACCAGTCTAGGGAGTACTTAATAACTGTATAATTAGTAGCATAACACAAGCTAGTCTTCCACCCACAGCAATTGAAGAAGTTTTATGGAATAAACGTTTACATGCAAGTTCTGGGTGAAAAAAATGTTAATTTAGGTCCCCCTAACTGCAACTCAACAGTTTCAGTTTGCAATTAGAACAATCACTTTGTAACACTGTCATTGAGAGACTTGCTTTTGGAGAAGCCTAAGTAAGAATTAAATACCCTGGCAGACTTTCAGGGATCAGGCAAAGAATGAAGACAGAGAAAAGTAAGAAAGCCTTCAGACTTTTTTCTCAGCCTCAGACAATCCACACAACTCAAAGAGGGTTTTGCAACCACTGCTTGTTTTTTTACCTTCACACTTTGCACAAATAACATTCTTTTGCAGTGCCAGTTTCCTTGTAATTCCATTATATAGATCTTCAAGAGATACACCTAACTGGTGCACCACATTTTTGCCTTTAGAAAAACAAAAGGGAAATATTAATAATTGTTCAGCTCTTGTGAAGACAAATGTTCATGCACAGTCTCATTGACGAAATGCAGAGTTCATTCCAAACTTTGAACACAACTCAGCCCCCTTAAAAGCATGTGCAATTCCATCAGCTTCCACTAAGCTCCACTCATTTATTTCTGAACATGAAAGTTGAGCTGTAATTGTGCAAAGCATCATTAAAGCCACCTTATCCCTGCTCCTACTCCTAATTTTATAAGCTTAACTGAAACAGCAAGATGCAAGGACACTACCAGCTTCAGATCGGTCAATTTCGAAGTTGCAATTTATGCCTGCCTCTGAATTTCCATGCCACTTCATAGCATAATTTCAGTGATTTTACAGCAAGTTACTACTTGCTCCTTCAACAGGCATTGGACATGGAAAAGAATCATATCGTGCTTTTGGCAGCACACTGCACTCAGTTTCATGTCATCTCTCCCGAATATTTTAATAGGATTTAAAATTACTGAAGTTTAAGTTGATGGTGTCCTTTGAAGCAAGTTGCCCAAAAGCATATGAGCAAGTGAGGCACAGATTTGGAAAAAAGGTAACTTAAAGAGGTCTAAATCAACTGGTGACTTACTGATGTTTCCCCCTCCCCTACAGACTACCCATTCCCCCTTCAACAAAAAATAAATGGAATTTAGCAGAAAGATGGCTATGGCTAAGCCATGTTGTCTACTTTATTAATGCTAGAGTAACTAGAAAAATCATAGTTTACTTATTCTATTGTTGCAACAAGTAATAGCCACGCTATGTGCACTCAGCAGAACAGCAGTACCATAGCACAGGTGTTTTATGCTTAAGTGCATGGTTAGAGTTTCTAGAACTTGTTTAGAACTGTGTACCTCTTCTCTCTCTATTCATTCGGCCTCCACCACCAAAGAACATGTCAAAGATGTCCATGGGTGAAGAGAAGCTGCCGCCACTCAGGCCTCCTTCTTTAATAGCCTGCTCCCCACCCTGGTCATAGAGGTCCCTTTTCTTTGGGTCCGACAGAACTTCATATGCCTGGGATATAAGTTTAAACTAAAAAGAAAAAAGAAGCTCTGAACAACTATGACCAAGAGGAAAAGTAGCCCTCTCATATACAACTCCATCTACAGATCAAGCCACTACAACACCCTCTTGTAGCATTTGTTTCCAAAAGGAAACTCCCTGGGTAACAGACTATAATAGTACAGTTTCGTCCAGGAAAACCACCCCTTTCCTCCCTCTCCCCCCTCCTCCCATGTTTTAAGTGGGCTTAATTCAGTCACATCCACCTTACAAATATATACCAACTACATTTTGCTGATTGTAGTAGTCACAACAACCATTATAACCTCTAACAAATCCATTTAGAAAGAAATATGGTACCATCCCTGAAATCCTGCAGGTGCCCAACTGCTCACGGCCACAGCAGAGCTAGTCAGCCTAGAGCTACACAGGGACCCTCCATGCCTGCTGAGCTGGTACATCCAGCTATAGCAGAGATTGATGTGACAAGACACTGGTGTTGCTTACTCATCACAAACACAAGGACTTAGATACAAATCAAAACAATTATTTTCTTAAATAGCTCTGAAAAGCTTCCAATAATTTGCTATTACTGGAAGGACCACTTCGATTTTAAGTTTCATTTACTCACGGCCATGTAAAGTGTTGTAAGCAAAAAAAAGCAGGCCCAAAATAAAAGCAAAAAAGGTTGACTAAAAAAATAAGAGCAGAAAAGGTTGCCTTTGACTAGGCTACTGTTTGAGTTCTGTAAATTAGTATTCCAGAGACTAATGTAAGGTACGTATGGACCTTCTATTCCTATATTAATGTATTAGTAGACCAGCTTTTAGATAAACAATCCCATCATTCATATTTTTCCTAGTTCTATAATCGTGGTGCTCACTTATCATCCAAGCCAACCCAGGCAGCTGAGCAGGTCTGTGCTGACAGCACGTAAAATAGTTCTCTTGTAAGCAGTCCACCCATGTACAGCCCAGTGATTTCCCAGGTATAGTTACCTTGGACATCTGCATTAACATTTTTCTCTGAAGAAACCCCATCCTGTTCAGGAGCACAAATCCATCCAGCACAACAGTGCTGGCAGCTGGATCCACTACCAGCTTTCTCAACGTCTGACACAGCACAGTGGCCACAGGCACACTAGAAATCCTTCCAGCTTTGTCTGTTTTAACCAGCACCTCTAAGGACGATCTTCCACCCGCATCCAAAAAAAAAGAAATGCTGCATCCCCTTTGCCACAGCTGGGCCGTCAGGCCTGCTGCCAGACTCACGGATCTGAACAGAGACCTGGAAGCAGGGGAGCCTTCGCATAGCAGCACTGCGCTCCAGGAAGGGCAAAGCAGAACCTGAGCTAGGACCGAGCGCCCGCCGGATGTAACCACGGCCTGTCTGTGGGGGACCCGCGGTGCTCCCGCGGGCGGCCCTGCGCCAGCCTCCGGTTCTCTCTGCGGGGCGGCCCGTTCCGCAGCCCGGCGGCTCCCGCGGCGAGCCCGGCTCAGCCCCGGAGGGCCGGACGGGGCCTGCCCCGCGCAGGGGCCCTAGGTGCCGCCTGGAGCGCGGCCGCCTCACGATGGGCAGCCCACAAGCCTCGGCCCGGCCCCGGCCCCGCGTACCCGCTCGCCCTCGCTGGGGTTCTTGTCGGGGTGGTACTTCAGCGCCAGCTTGCGGTAGGCGCGCTTGATCTCCTCGGAGGAGGCATTGGGCTTCACCTGCAAGATGTCGTAGTACTCCGTCTCCTTCACCATGGTGGTGCCTGTGGGAGGACGCGGCACGTTACCCTCGGGTTACCCTCGGCTTATCCCGCCCAGCACCGCGCCGAAGGCCCGCGGGCCGCGCTCACCACTGCGGCCGCTCCGCTGCACAAAACACCGCCACTACCGCCGCCCGCTCACCGATCCCAGCAGCCCCGCCTCTTCCGCGGGCTTTATAGGGGCCCCGGCCGAATCTTCTGGAATGACGCCGCGCGTGACGTCACGGGGCTGGAACGGTCTAGAACGGCGCTGCGTGACGTCACCGGCGGCGCGCGCGGGGGGAGGAGCTTCGGGCCGGGCCCGGCTCCGGGCTCCGTGTTTGATTTGGGGCGGTAGCGCCGGGCGCCCTCGCTGCCTTTCTGCGCTCTGCCTGTACGGCTGGGGCTCCCCGGGGCCGTGCCTGGCGCTCCCTGAGTACAGCTCACACAAACTGGACTCGGGCAATGGAGTACCGAGGAGCTGCCATTGGATGGGAGCTGTAAATTATTATCTATGCTAATGTGGTAATGCACGTCTTTTCTTTTCTCTTCTTTGTTGCTTTTAGATTTCTATGTAATACTATTTTTCAATAAAAGTTCCAAAATAATTATTTTATTATATGGAAGCTTTAGGTGCCCTTTCCATTATGGTAAAAATGTGACTGTTCTATGGGGCTAAAAATACATTAAAAACTACCCCATATTTTATGTCTTTGTATTGTAGACACAGTCTGTTGAGTCTAATTTAGAAAGCTTCTCCCTGTGTCAGCTTTAGCCAAACCTGAAATAGCCCGGCAGGGCTGAGGGGTCCCGCCTGCGGCCCCTCATGGCCGGCGCTGTGAAATCCTTTAATTCGCCTCTGGGAGAGGCTGGCGAGCACCCTGCTGCAGCCTGCCCCACGCTGTGTGGTAGGTCTTGTTCTGCTTAGATGGCTTCCCTCATGCCTCGTTCCTCAGTGTTTTGGGCCTTTTCAGTTAATTGGGCTAATGTTGTACCCCCGCTCCATATCTGATATATGCCTTTTCCTCAGGCCGGCCTGCCCGGAGCAGACTTGGAAGCTGGGCTAGTTTTCACCTCCAGGAAACCAAAAGTCCTCAAATCATTATTTACTGCTTGGGGGAAAGGAGATAACTGGTACTTGTGTGGATCTGAGCAATAGCCTATTTTCCTAAAAGATGGCAACTTAATACTGAAAAATCTCAAGTGAAAAATACAGAAAAGCTGCATGAACTGAGAAGAGATTTTGCTCAAACTTGAGTTGAGTAGGAATGTTTACAGACTGCCTTTTTATTCCAGGAACAGTTCCTTATTCCTGGGAATAGTTTTATGAAAGCAGAACATCTCCTGTGATTATGATAACCCAAAGGTTCCAGTGCTCTGCCCTGCCAACCACAGCCCAGGTAAAGAGTCTGGATGACTGAAGGAGAGGGTCCTGTTGTGTTGTCTAATAGTGGGAAATGGGGAAAAAGAAAAAGGGGGAGAGATCCAAATGAAAATTGGTCATCATTTAGAGCTCTGGTGACACTATAATGAACTTCCTACTGTATTTCAGGTAAATGCTATTAGAAGATTGAATTAATACAATCTACTTATATTCAGCATGTAAATTTACTGAAGGGGGAGCTAATTACAGGAAATCAACAGAAAATGCCAATGAAAGGAACAGTTCAAAACCACAAGAAAGAAATCAGTGTTGGTAACTATTATTTTCTCCAGGCATAATTATCAGCAGCTGAACATGTAAATTTGTGTTTTGCAATTGTGAAATTATATTGACAAGTAAATACAGGAACTCTTCTCTGGAGATATTTATGGTAAGTTACTCTGTAAACTTGCAGACCAAGAACTAAATATCTCCTTTTTAAGGCAAAGAAAAGGTCTATTCTCATAATGGTCTCTACCTTAAAGATAAATTAGCTATAATCTGTTGTTCTGAACATAATATTTCCTTTTAAGAAGAAACAATAACTTGGTTTATAGCTTTGTAGTAACTGAATGCTTTAGTAGATGAGAAGCTTTCTAAGCACATAATGAATTTTAGAGATCCCTTTTTAGTATGTCATAAAAACTGTATCATTTCTGTGAGTAGAAATCCTCATGTAGGTATGTGTAGATACCTCATGTGGGTGTGTGTAAATGTAATAAGAACTCACACTGATGGGTGGTTTCTTACTGTTAACATTTGTTACTTGCAATAACAGCCAAAAAACTTGGTTGGTTTGGATCTTTAGTTAAGAGGATTGAGGCTCCTACATAATTTACTTTTGTTTTATAAGGGAGCCTTATCAGGTTATGTTTACATTCATATGCAGTATTTGTTTTCTCCATCTTTGGTTCCAGTTGGTACAATCAAATCATTATTTTTTCAAAGAATTAGTGGGAAAAGTAGTAAGGGTTGGTGTTTGAGATTATAAAAACAGGAGAGATACCACTCAGTGGATATTCTTTGCACCATCATGTGCATGTCCTACGTCACTGTTGTCTGAGTGATGCAGTCATTCTCATACCTGAGGGGAATGCAGTCCTACAGCTGTCTGAAGCAAGACACTTCCCATTTATCAACACTTTATTTATGTATTTATGGAGCAGAGTTAGAATCCTCAGCAGATGGTTTTGTCATGATCAGTAGTAAATGTGAAACAGCCTCTATACATGCAGAAATATTTCTCAGCAATTACAGTCGTGGTTCCTTAACTCAACCAGCCTGGTGATCAAGGGTGTGTATGCCTAACTCTGTTTCTTGTGGTGCACACCTTGCCTCCTAAAGTTTGTGGTTGTTGCTAATCAGCAGCCAGATGAACAGCTAATTTCTTTCGCAGTTCTTTCCCTTTCTTCCCTCCTGCCACATGTAACATGAATCACATTGTTGCCTTTTTTTTGGCCAGTATCAAATTTGCGTGTGGGTGTCAACAGGAAAACAAGCGGAGAATTTCTGTTCTCTGCAGGGAGGCAGGAATGGACTGGGAATGGGGAGTAATTAATCTGGAGCCTGTTTCATTTAGCCACCAGAGGACTCTGGTTCTGAAACAGGCTAGCACAAAACAGGAGTTAAAACTGCACCTGCTGACCTTGGGACCGTGCAGTATCTTTATTACAAGAATTATGCATTTATCTTTTAGTCCCATTATATAAAGCACTGCTGGAATCTGTTTGTTTGCATTTCTTTTATCTGGCTGTATTGCTATTTATCCTTGTTGAAAGAAGGATCCTGGAGACAGTTAAGAGAGCAATCTGCTGAACTGCAGCTTCTTGCAGCACCCTTGATTTCTGAAAGTATCAAAAAAACCCTGTTTATTACAAACACTGTGGGAAAAAAAAAAGTCAGGAATCTAAGGGACTGTGTGTTTTCAGCCACACTAAATTTGCTTAAACAGCTTCAGTATTTCCTCTATAAGGTGAAATTAGAATCACAGCAGACTTTCCTTTGTGCTGAGCTGGATTCTTTCAAGCATCCAGGTCTCAAAAGTTAGCACAATTTCTACAAATTTCTTAGGAAAATATCCTTTAAATAATATTTTTAAGCTATGATTTTTAGCCTTATTAAAAATGTATGTTAAACAATAAAGTGTGACAGTTTCATTTAATGAACCTTTAATGGCCCTGGGCCCATAATTATTATACAAAAAGGGTATTTTCTACAGAAACTAACTGTTGGAAGAATCTTTTTGCTATAGATGAAAAGTAAAAGATCTCCTGGAAAAATGTAAATGATAGCCTTTGTTTTGAGCTATTTTAGGGTAGTGTGTAGTGAGTAACTAGCAGTCACAGGTTTGTCTAATCTGAATTCCTGCATTAGAAGTAAATTAGTATAAAAAGCATATGTGAGTTTAAAAAGTTGTTGCTTGCCTGGAGCTTTCCATTCTGTAATCTGCCCTCAGCATCATCTCCTTGGCCCAAGGTAGCATAAATTGGTTGATCCTTAAGGTGTGTGTTGAGACTCACTTGTTTAGTAAGATTTAATGGAGGTTTTGCCACTGTTTGCCACATTGAAGACATGTTTGGAATTAGAATTTTGCATAAGCCCTGAAAACTACTCTCACTTAGTAGATCTGTGTAGTTTAATTATTTTTTTAACTTTAGCTAAAATGTTTTAGACACTGAGTGACATTTTAATTTTATGAGAAAGTAGGAAAAAGAGCTGTAGATAATCACAGCAAATGTAGTTAACAGACCATAGCAGGCAGAGAGCTGCAATTAGTAGCAAGTTGAAAAGATTACAGGCTCCAAGAAAACTGATATGAAATAACAAAAATATAATAGAAGTGCAATTTATGTAAATAAATGTAACAAAGGCTTTGAAACTGGCTTTGAATAAAGGTTATGACATGTTCTGCTGGTAGTGGTTGTGAGGTAAGGCTTTTTTTGATTTGGTTTGGATTCAGTGCTGGAAGATGGGAGGAACAGTAGGACTACCAGTTTAATGTCTGTACCAAAAAGTATTGTTTGACACTATTTGTTACCAGTGATATGACTAAAAAAAGGGGCCTTGTCATACATTTGCTTAAACTAACTGGGATGACTAGCGAGGAGCATCCAGAATTAGTCCACACCTCTGTTAACTTTAAGTAAATACAAGTTTTATGGTAAAACATTCACTCTCTTGCCTTACAAGTAAATAGATGGGGGAGTACACAGCCCTGGGTAGTTTCACGTTTTCATAGTCTTACTGTGAATTACAGCTGAAACATCATGTCCCAGGCGTGCTCCACCCACACCAAGGCTGGTCTGCCTTGCCGTGCTGTTGGTCACTGACCTAGTAACAACGTGCTTTTGGTTTGGCCTCTCTGATATTTCTATTTGGGATCTTGTGACTGCAAATTGTATTGACAGTGCCTTCAACTCTGAGGTACCAGTTGCAAATTTCTGAAAGATACCAGTCCTAATTGCAGAGCAAAGGATGTGAACAGTATGTGAGCTTTATTTGGCTTTTATATGCTTTTATTGCTTAGTGAGCCTGTCAACACCTAGAAATCTTATCCCCTGCAAAAAGCAGCCTATCCCATCACAAATATTCTGTCTGGGTCTAGTGCAGTCTTGTGCAACTTGCATGCAGGTAGATTTAGGCATAAAAGAAAAGGATTGTAGCATCTTGTAAGGTGCAACATGTAAGATGGTTTTTTCTGCTGAACTCCATGTAAGTTGCTGGCCTCATTTGTTAGGATTTATTATTGAAACTTGAAGACAACCTAGAAAGGTACCAGAACTGCAAAGGCAGGTTCTGTGTAGAACTATAAAGGCAAATTCTGTGTCCAGCTGTTGCAGCTTGACATTCATGAGCCTGTTGTTGAAGTGACAAGACCGTAGCTGACAGTTGCAGGAAACACAGTTTATCACAATGATGTGAGTTCTTCGTTACAGTCACACAATAGAGAGTCCAAAGCAACTCTTCTCCACCAATTCCCACTGATAAATTCCCCTTACTTCACAGCCTGGCTTCCCTTTTGGCAGTAACAAGCTGCCCTTGTTACTGGAGGAGTGATCTGCCACTGGAGAATGCTTGATTGTGTCAAAATGATTTGCTAACCATCAGCAAGTTTAAGGAAAATTATAGAAGAAACAAAACAAAGAAATCCTTCATAAACACAGTGTATACAGAAGACACATAAATTTGAGGTTATCTGTTTATTCACTGAAAGTACAAGACTTAGTGAGCAGCCATTTCCTTCCAGGAGACCAGCCAGTTAGCCAGCCACTAAACACCCAAGATGCAACTCCTTCATATAGCATCTAAAACACTTTAGATGACCTGAAGAACAAAAAGAAGAGTTTTCTTGCAGCAGAGTTTTCTTTATTATGTTACTGGAAAGTTGGTTGCAAGGAAGAGACCTTGTGGCTTTCTGCAGAGAATTGGAACAAAGCATTTGGAGAATTATCCCAAAATGAAAGAGCTAAATCAATCCTGACAAATAAGAGTTTTGCTGCATATGATGACACATTTTTACCATTGAAATATCCCCATTTTGTGTTCAGATATTTTCAAATCAAGTTTCTGGTGTTGAGAATAGATCCCTTAGCATCTCACTTCAGAGTTTTCTTTCATTTCAAATTGCATTGTCTACAATTATATGTTTGGATATGGTGCAAGGCGCTCTGGAATAAAACCCACACTTTCTACAAAGTTAATACTTGTTATCTTAGATATTCCTAATCACTATGGCAGTCTTTGTACCATTAAGTAAAGCAGATTATGTTCTCTGGCTCTGAAGGCCATGGCACAGCATGGCTTGCATGACAGGGTAGTCATTAATATCATCTCCCGTGACAGCCTCTGCCCTGTGTTGTCCCAGGCAAGTGCCAGTTCATACAGAACCATGCCAGGGAAGGTGCTTGCAGTGGGTGGCTTGAGCCATTCTCTGGATTTTGTTTAGTTTACCAGTATAGAAGTAGCTGAACTGGACTC